GCGATTAGAATCTGATAAATCGATTTAATAGACAAATGCCAGTCCTCCTCCTGTTAAAATGTTGTAGGATGGAAAATAATTTGCATGGATTCAAACTGACACCTCACTACATTTTGTATCGATCTGTTTCACAGCGAAAAAAGAGAATCAACTGAGATTCAGCAAACTGGCTTTTCAATCAGATCAATACAACATGACTTATGGTATCACGCAGATTACTCTTCAGGGGACGTGTATACACAATTGAGTGGGATTATTGCAGTTAAAATGTACAATTATAAACGATAGTTTATTTCACCAGACGGCAGATTTGCAATAATTTCTCACGTGATTATTCTCTTTTCGTTCATTGATTTGGTTTTTAGAGAAAACGTCAGGCGTTATTGGATCAGGTCTTACTTATACTTCCTCTTGCTCGTTCAAGTGAGTCGTCTTCGTTTGCATTGAACTTTTGTGATATAATAATAAAATCATTATGGTGAAAAAACTCGTTTTTGGTGATTTACTCACAGTTTAATGTGTTTTGTGGTATAAAAATTGATTACAAACTAATAAGTCAAATTCCAGTTTCATGAACCGAAGTTGCTCACACTGATTATCAAACGGATGCCTCGGTTCGCTGTCGGTTGCCAAAGTGAACTAAGTTTCTAGTCAAAATTTACAGTCGCATTTGAGTTCTACCAAGTTTATCGGGCAAACAAATAATTATCGAATGAGGATAAAAGTTTTAACGTATACCAAATTTGTATCGCATGAAATAAGACAACTAGTCAAGCTATTCCAACATAAAACTGTGCTTTTATTAACTGTTTCGTTTTGAATAACTATGCGTTAAAATCCTGATCCGATCTTGTAGATTTTTGAGCTGCTTAGAACACGTTGTGTTTTCCTGTGAAATAGACCGCTCTCAACGCTCACGTTTCATACGATTCTCACAAATTACCCTGTTGGGTGATACTGCTCCACGTGTTTCCCACTGCAATGCATTTGTTGTATATCACACACGTCTGTGGCCAGACGATGTGCCGAACAAATCACGAAACAATAATCTTTTTACAGAAGAAAAACGTTCTATGATTTGCTTGTGGGCCGAATACTGGTTGCCCAGTCTAGGGTGGGTGAATGTTCGTGGGGAGTTCAAATCCACAGGCTTCGGCTAGCGGAAGCCTGACGCGTAAGGCGGCGGGGCGGTGTGGGAAAACCACAGTTCTTTGGAGGCTGATGTCCAGTTCATCGGACGGGATCAAACGTCCAAGGTGTCCAATACACCTCTATGCCCCTTTGAGCCGATGACCACTGTCAAAGCCAGAAAGGTGTATGGTTCGTACCCCTCCTCTTGGTTGGTTTGTGATCAATGTGTTTAGCCAACTGCCCCAGGTGAACTGCCAGTGGTTCACCAACCCGGAGGTCGACTTTTCGTCCTCTCACTTTGGTTGGAAAACACCGCTACTTAAGGCGCTGAGTAGGGCTTCCTCAGCCGAAGGTATTTGAAGCACCTGGAGCAGTTCGTGAGTTGCAAGTGATATAAGACCAGCTACAACCCTGGACACCCACCTCCGAACATAGTGAGGCTTTCAGCGTGATTTCCATTTTCAAAAAGTGTTACCAATCGCGCTTTCCAATTCGGTTGCATTTGTCCGAAGATTCTTGTTTCTCTCACTCCCTCACACTGTTTAGCTCTTTCACCATTGGACTCTGTTTCATTAAGAAAATTAAACTTCGTGGTTATACGTTCGTGCCATGCAGTAAGCACTTTCAAAGTGCAATCTGTTGCTTCAAGGTCGGGTTGACTCCATTCAAAATTTTGCACTAATCGGGAAGACATGACGGAAGCTAGTCAAAGCTTCACCTTTCGGGGTGTATAAAGCATATACTTGATTTGACATGCGTAGCTGCATCTTGTAATAGGTATTATCGCGCATACGGAAGACTCGTTTGGCGTCAACTTGTTATTCGAAGTTCATTCATCTTCCGAAACCCAATTGGAGATCACTGGTTTTGATTCCAGTTATTTCTTCTGTAACAAAATGGACTATCTGCCGTTTGGTCATGTTCGGATAATGCGAATTTTTTGCAACCAGTTCCCCAGAGTTTACTGCAATCCTTTGAGTTGTCATCGTCCTAAGATCAGACTACCATTATACCCTTCCTATAAGTTAAAGTAGGTTGGAATCGCACGCATGTTTGAACCGGAGACAGTCCTTGTACATTGTTGATACTTTTGGTGATTCCAGCACACACACACACATATATATATATATATATATATATGTACCAAAGTGAGTGTAATAAGCATCACCATAGAGTTAATATTGAGTTGAGCATAAGTATTCCAAGGTTTTATTCAGTAAATTTTTATACCCTGATGATCATTTGCTGTTTGGAATTTGTTTCTTCGTCTGAAATGATATCACGTATGAATCTCCTCTTTCCACACGTTTCAGATGCTATTCAACCCCTGCTGCGTTTGTTGTTCGTGGTCGTCTTAGGTCGAGATCCACGTCCCGATGCCACACTTTCCTTGTCGAATTCCAGTCAGTTAATCCAGCTCAGTCCAAAGTTACTAAGCAAAGTGATTCCCATAATTGTTGATGAACTCAAACGCTCCTCATCCACTGCCTCAAATGAGTCGGAATATCCGGTGAGTACTTCTTGATTGAAGTTATTTTACTCTGTTTCCGAGGAATTCTTGCTCGACACGTTATACTGGTTAAATGCTGTTATGTTGTCTCTTGTAGAACAAATTATCTCCGGATGAGTTTCAGAGAACCGTAAGCGACAAAAAACCCTTGGTTAGTATGTTTGCATTCAGCCTGTAAGGCGGAACAGTTTATCGCCTGAGTGAATGTCGTTGATTAATTTGTTTTCAAGCGCGATTGGGTCACGTTAGCTGCACAAAAGTGGGTAATTTTCCTGTGAGTGACAAACGCAGTCCATTGCTAACCGGGGTCCATATATTTGGATCGTCCGTCTTTCGATCATGGTTTACACTTTCATGATACCCGATATGCCCTGTAGCCCAGCTGATCCAGTGACTATCGTGACCAGGATCTCTTGGGGTCAGGTTCGAGTGCTTCTTCGTTTGAGGTTTAAAACCCAGATCTTCCAGCTCTGTTAGCTAAGGTAGCTACCTCTGGTTTGTCAATCGTATCACTGTCTTGGATGTAGAATTTTCGATATGTCGCTTTAGTAAAGACTCGCTGCGAGAAAGCAATGGATTAGGGCCTCCACCAGCAGATCAGCCAGGAAGTGCACCCCACAGGAATATTTTTCGGCGATAGAACCTGGCCTCATCCACTCTCGCTGAAACGGCCCTTTTGGAAGTCTTGAAAGCCTACCTACCCCTAGATCAGTCTCAACTAGCCCCTCACCACGGGGTTTTATGTAATATCCCAAGAGACACCCGTAGGGGTTCTTCGGTCACGTTCCCCGCTGGATTTACGTTTTACTCTCGTATGGATCTAACCATGAAACCCCTAGTTTTCACCGGTCTTTTCTCTGAAGAATCCGTACAATTGCTTTGTGGTTCAGATCTTTTAGTCAAAGCTTTTGCTTATTACTCTCATCAAAAACGCTCTTTGTTAGTCTTATGTGAAGGATTCACTGCTTCAAGCATTCGATCAGAAAATATCTTCCGCGTATTTCATCAAAATGTTTTTTTTGGCTCATTCATACCTTCCTTTATCATCAAGACAAAAGGACAGCCTTCATAATGGTGCTGCCAAGAGTCTCTGTGATAAGAATACTGGCAATGACCTTAGTCTGCTATCAATTCGGATTAGATACTGTGGTCCTTGCGTACTTCTCGCCACGACTTCACTGTTAATCATGATCTGTCCTTTGTCCGCTTTTCACCTAAATACACCTATCAGGAATACTCACAAACAGTGTGTCCCCAAGAAACTGACATCAGTTTACATTTCACTTCAATGGACCTACGCTTCCAATCAACGTAGGTCAACATTTTCCCTGACCAAACTGAGCTTTGTGCCATGTCTCATTTAACTTCAATAAACGTTCTTACTGCTTATCTTTAACGCATAACCCATTGTTCTATAACTTTTATGAACTAGAAGCAAGTCATCTTGATGAGAAGGATTCTGTATCCAATTCTATATCTGCCATGTGTTACGATTGTTTCAGAATTGGTCTTTAACTGAATGTCATGTTTTGGGCATTTGGTAGCAAAATTATCTGTGAATTCCTTGAATCGTCGTTCCGTTTAATAATGTGCTTCTAGCTTTTATTTTCAATTCACGGACAGCGTTTATATGTCCCCCTCCAGGAATAAAAGCTTTCCATCTAAACTCTTCCCTTCTGTTTATGATTTATTTTATTTTAATATAACTATTTTGTTTTGTAATCCTTTCCTTCACATTCTGTTTAATGATCGGTTGACTCAGCTTTTTGACCCACTCATTTCCGCGTTTGATTGAATGACGGCAGTTCACTGTTTTGGGAAAGTCACAGAACACACACGTTAAATGATGATTACAATTGAGAAAATTATGCGAAATTTTGATGTTGATACGTTTTGTTCGGTTGTCCAAACATCTACCGAACCTGAGTTGCAGCTTTTCGCTTCTATTCAGTGATTTGATTGTCACGATTGCAAGTACCATTTGGTCGTTGTCTTTTTTCTCTCATATTAGTCGTGTTAATACTGCGCTTGTGTTTCAGCTTTCGAATGTGCGTGTGTCCGTTTTCATATTGTTTTTGCTGTTGATCCCAACAGTTTGATCGTACCTGACTATGGTTACACTTTGCAAGATCTAAACGGTACTTCCATGTACACGGAAGCTCCGGTCGGTTTCGAGTGTTGCAATATGTGCATGTGTCTCGTCTAGGGTTTTAAATCATACAAAGTTGACAGCACCATCGATAAAAGGTGGTAACTTTGCGCTTGATTTAGTGTGTAGGTTGACCCGCACACCCGGAATTGCAGCCAGTACGCATTTATGCTTTTCTTAACGTTTATTCTTCCGGTACGCTTATCCGAGGGATACTCCGAAAACCAGGCTTAATGCAGCAGTAAAAATGAATCATTCCCCAGGAAAAGTGCACTCTATGTTGGAGTTGGGAACTTGTCAGATCTGCCTCTCGCTATTTGGTTAACACCGGATTGTCTTCGTTACTCGAATCCATTTTGGTTTGTTGATTGGACTTACTTTGATTTGTAAGTGTCATTCAAACAGCTCGTCTAGCATTCGATTAGGTTCGTTATCGTTACAAATCGTGTCTCCAATCACCACTGTTTCTATTTAAGCCCAGCTTTTATCACACTATCTAGGATGCTACTTCCATTATGGAACGTAGTTCACGTTTACTTTAAAAATGTTTTTGAAAGTGTATCCGAGATTCGATATTCGTTTCATAATTTTTGACCTTTTTAGCGACACTAGTAGATTTTCGTTGTGTCATGTAGTGTTAACGTATAGAACGCTACAAAACTCTACAACAGTTAGCCCACTCGGTTAGCGCATTAGGTATAGGACTTCTAGTGTCTTTTTCTCAAGTAGCTTCGTGGTCGTCCCCACCAGGCGGAATTCACAGTCAGGCAACGTGTGAGAAGTTTCAGGAGTGTATTTATTATGAACAAAAACCCTATCTCTTTAATTTTTGGGGCCCGGTAGAATCCTCCTCATTGTGACTAGTTTGTTTCCATTAGAATTTCCAGAACACTTCTAGGTGAGTCTTTATTTTGTCAGAGCAATAAACCTTGTACTTTTTGCTCCACCTGGATATAAAGCGCCCTTCATACTGACAAAATGTTCTTAACACGTGCTTTTGGAGCTCCTTTCTCTTTGTTTTCCTCCCATGATCAGATTTCAACCGGTTTGATACGCCTACTCGCCGACTGGGTACTGTCCTG